CGTATGCCGGCCGTGAAAGCCTTCGACAATACAATAAAAAATTCTCTTCATAAAACTCTATTAATGTGACATTACTGTACTTCCCTAATTCAAATTTTCCTGTAATTCCATGTTCCTCATTTCTCAAACTTTTGCATTCCAATCATCTATTAATAATACTGAGTCCTTTGTTGATAATGCATCTACAATATATCTCTTGCAAGTTGCCACAGAATTCCTTAACCTCACCTTTTATCTGTAGTAGTGGCATAAACTTCTGTAACACTAAAGTTCACTGTATATCCACTAATAATAAACACGATCCTAATGTTTATTATAGTGAATAAATTTTTAGCAGTGTCATTCTTGAAAGCCACTGCTTCTATATTCCTGTATATAGTTTCATGCACTGAATAGTACAGCATGTACCTGATTTAAAGTGGCTTATTTTTGGTCCACCTAAATCTACCTATTCCTAAACTTCAAATATGTTTCATGTCCACATTGACAATTTCAAATTTTCCTTGGTTTATGCTTCTCACATTCCATATTCCAATGGTATGCCTCCTACTAAATGATGAACTTTTCTTTCAATACTGGTTCCTTTGTCGATCAGAATTTGTTAGGGCTTTGTTCAGGCAATATCACTGTCTTCAGATCTGCTTGTTAGAAGTTCAAAGCTTTTCCCCTGTAATTAGAGGAAGATCTTCCAAACTGGGAGTCTCATCATCTGGCACCACTAACTCATCCAACTGTTATAGATGTTCCAGGCAGAATAATACTGTAATGGTTTGATATTCCAAGTCTGATTTTTGAGTTCCTTCTCCTATGTGAATTGGCTGGTCTCATGCTTGCAAAGCCCACCTGTCCTCCTCCTGCCCTGTTGTAGATTACCCTGAGATCTCCTCCTCCCTTTTCGATCTCATTGGAAGGATGACCAAGCGGAGTTTCCACTCTTGCTAGCATCACTGTTACAGTCACTGACACTACAGTATTGAATTTTCCCATCACAGCAAAGTGGTAATTGTCTAGGAATATCTCTTTCAAAGTTGTCCAAATTAGTGGTCATTTCTACATCTTGGAAAAGTGTAGGAGAAATTTTGGGATTTTTTATATGGATTTATATTCTTACATATTCTGATAAGCAATTTCAGTAAACTCAGTGAAATAAATCAACAGACCATACTTTAAAGTCAGCAGAAGCAATCTGGCGCCTAGAATCTACAGCCATGCCTGAAGTAACAAAGTGCTAACAAGATAAGTGAAAGTGTTAACTGTAAGAATGCAAGCAAGCCACTAAGGTGTGTACCAGATGGTTGGGAACTGTAAGCATTTAGTGCTGGAAACTAAGGTTCTTTGATTTAAGCTAAATGATATTTATTAGTTATAAGTTCTTAGGCTTATTGTTTGGTATAAAAGCTCCACTGTGTAGGGAAGTGTGATCTCATTTAATCCACCCTTTATGGAATATTTTAATATGCATATAAATAACCCAGTGAGTAAGGATAATCTTATCAATCACATTGACAGTAATATCCTATTGGGTTATGGCTCATTAACTAATAACATAATATACCAATTAAAGGAAATTAGATTTGCATAAATCTATAAAGAGGGCTTGTAACCCCACCTCTCTCTGGATTTTGTTTATTGGCCCAATATTGAAACTGTCAATAAATCAATTTATGCTTTGACATATTGTGTCTCTGTCTCTGGTCTAAAAGTACCCTATGGGAAAAATTTCTCCTTCAATAGCAAATTCCATACCTTAGCTTTATGCTCTGTGATTATTCATTTTGCCTATCTTAAATGTTCCAGCTTCAACAAATGAGTTCACTATCCTTGGACAAATTGTTAATGGCAGTAGCATATTTTGGCCCTTGGTGTTCTTTAGGCCAAAGTCAACTACCTGTTAATCACTAGGATAGCCTATTCCTGCTGTACATTTTCAAGCAATCGTGACTAGTTAGTAAGTGGTTGCTCAGAGTAGATCATGCACTACATTTTGACAAAAATGAAGAACTGGGACAGTTAATAAAGGGATCTATTTCTACAGTTTGGTGTAGTGGTTAAAGCATTAGTCTAGAAACTGGGAGACCATGAGTTCTAGTCCCACCTTAAGCACGAAGCTAGCTGGGTGATCTTGGGCCAGTCATACCTCTCAGCCCTAGGAAGAAGGCATGGGCAAACCACTTCTGAAAAACCTTGCCAAGAAAACTGCAGGGACTTAGTCCAGGCAGTCGCCAGGAGTCAAAAACTGACTTGAACGCCCCCAAAAACAAAAACAAAAAAACCCTACAGAAAGGAAATATTGTTTATTACATTTACATATTAAATTTTTATTGTAACTTACTTTGAGATTTTTAAAACAGGAAGAATACAAGTACTTTAAATAAAATTAATTAAGTAATTTTTCTAGACGCCCCTTGCTCTGTAACAAGGTCAATAACTGTCTCTGAATTTACTGTTCCGCTTTTATTTACTGCTTGGCTCTAAACCTATACAACACTCCTTATATGGCTCATGTTATCGGCAAGGTCCTCCTATTATACTCAAGTCTTCAACTGCATCACCTTTGCAATATAGTTCCCTCTAACTCCTTCCTTGCCCAACCATTTCAAATGAATGCTACTTTTAAAATGAAAGGGCACAGCTAAGCATGAAGAAACTAATTAGAAATGTCTGATGCAGGTATTTAAAGGTCCTAAAATTCCAGACTTAAAAACTATTTAACAAAGAGTTTTAAACACATGCACCTTAAAAGTTAATGCTAATATGTTCGTGAAGTGCTGCTCTACATATAGCTGTCTATATTTAAGCTAGCAGCCTTGGTGAACCCAGAATCTAGAATCTTCCTCTAAAACATGTGTTCTTCAAGTTAAGCCCATAATATCATGAAGAAAAACAAAAATGTAAGCCTCAATTTAACATACTTATAGAAGCTGAAGTATCCTAGACTGCATAGTATTTCTTCTCACCCTCCCCAGCCTGCAGGTAGTAAACATAAATAAAATAGAGGGTGGGTGTTCTATAAAACCCTGAGAGAGAAATACACATTAAAAATAGATGCATGCTCTGTTAGGGGTTAACACTCAAACATGTGAAGACCATAATCCAGCTGAGGATATGATTTTGTCGCTAGATTGGTGGGGAAACTGATGAAAGGGCTTGCATTTCCCAGAGCAGCTGAATTCTTTAAAAAATGCAAAACCACAGCAATCTCATAATCGTTCCTCTCCTTTCCTCATTTTAATACTCAGAAACCATGAGAAAGGTTTTGTGATGAAACGAGGATGGTAAAGGAAAAACGAAATGGAACAGCTTCTTTCAAGACAGCACTGAAAATGAAAATGAAAATGAGTAACTGAACACTGCTGCAGCAACAAGTTCAGTGCAAACATTCAGATGAATTAAATGGTCCTTGCATCATCAAATCCCCAGGGGACCAGTGAGGTACTGAGGTGGTTCCATTTTTGTTAACATCTGCTGTCCTCTCTTAGCCTTTGTGATTTTTAATTTTCTTAAAAAAATAATTGTTTTTATATGTTAACTGTTTTATAGTCTTATTGTATGTTGCCCAGAGTCACTTTTTTGTGAGAGGGGCAGCCATACAAATTTGATGAACAAATAAATTAAATAAATTTCCCTGTCCTAATGTGAGGCTTAATTTCTTTAAGATATGCAGGGTGTACTGGCATCTATTATAATCCAATGTGTGGCTAGGGTGACTTTTAATTTCTGCTCATTTTGTGAAAAGGCTAGATGCATAAAAATCACTAACTGCTTTGGTCTCCACCAATATGCATTCTACCCCCCCCCATCATCACACACACACACACATGTACACTGTCTCACTATATCTATCTGCCTATCTGTCTTCCTCTTAGCCTGGCACTTTTCATATACACTGGAACTGAAAGCATGCTGGCTGGAAATTATAGAAGATGCAATCTGAACACATTTGGAGAGCACCAGAAAAGGTTAGATTGGACAAGTACAGTACATGCATCTCATTATAGCTGTATAGCTGAACTACAATAAAATATTTAAAAGAGATCTGAGATGAGAAAATGGAAAAAAAAATCTTTCTAGGATAATACCTTGGTTGAGTTGTGTGGCCTCTGTGATTTGAAATCCATTTATAGAACACTGTGCTCCATCGAGTGGTATTAAATGAACTGTTCCATTAAAGTGTTCAAAAATGCAGTGCTCACTTTCCAAATCAAGACCATGAAGTACTAAAACACAAAAGCAGATTTGTTAGTGTCTATTACAATAGCACTTTTATTTTTCTAATCCTAAGGTTTAAATGTATTAACCCTTATCCCATTAATTGTATAAAAGATTCCTAGATTTCCTATTTTCTTTACACTGCCTGTATACAGAGAAAGAATATATAAAATTTTGCAACGAAGGTAAGCAAAATAAGTAAATTGATCTACATAGAAATAGAGAAATAGATCAAAATGTACACATTTTTAAAATAACAATTCAAACTTGAAACTAATTAGATATCAGCGGACACTGAAAATTGTGTTGTGTTACTTTTAAGAGAACCATATGTGACTTCAGTAATAATAAAATCATCAGCTTTATGGCTTCTTATGTAATTTTATACTATATATATTCTCCTCCATGAAATAACTGATTTTTTTTTTTTTTACCTATTCTACTCTGGAGATCAGTGCAGCTGTAACAATGACCATTCCTGAAATATCATTAAGGGTCAAAGCTAACTCGATCTTTGTTATGAATCCTAAGAAGGAATAAATTGTGCTGAACATCAGTAATGTAAACATAGAGAGATTTAGTCCCACCAGCATGTAATGTCAAAATCTTTCAGAATTTGGGCTTGATTACAAAATGCATGTCTCCTCCAGCTAATATGAGTGGTTATGCACATTTGGAAATCCTATCCATGTGGTTAAGTGCAAACAGCACCCCTACCTTATTATTCTTCCAACATGAACTATGGTTGCTTCTATTCATTTAGTGTCTTTACTCTCTTTGAGAGTCAGATATTTCCCTTTGAAATGGCTAGAAGTGTTCTTAAACAGCGTTGGTCCCAGCCTCACAGCTCATGGGATATTCCCAAAAAGGTATGTACCAGCTTCTTACCTTTCCTTTATCACTGTTCCAAAATTTCATCAGGCCTAGCTTTGGCCAAGTTGGAGGCATTACCCTCTGTTGTTCTGTTGCCCTTTTCATCAGCATAGATGTCCATGTGGGGATGGCTCAGTAGAGTCCCTGAGTGATATGCTCCTTTTCTGCTCACTCTACAGGGAATTCTGGATGACTTCTATCTAGCCTATGCTAAAGAAATTCCCTGGTAGAGAGTACAATTTCTATTTGCTGCTTCTTTTGCTCCAACCAGGATCCCGATATTCTGGGTTGCTGTTTTGTGCTTACCGTGCATCTTTACTTATGATTCAACAACTATTATTTTTGTCTTTAACTCTGAATTTTTAATTTTATCTTTTTATACATCTATACACACACATGCAGGGACACACACACACATTTGTATTTGACTTATGGACATAATAAAGATTGATCTGATTTGATTTGACAGTTAGAGAGGCATAACCCAAAATATAAATTTGCACAGCTAGGAGAATAGGGATTTTTATTCGTATACATTATTATGCTAAGAACAACAGGGGGGAATTCGTAAAGTAGTAGAGAAGACCAGGGATAAGAAGTTTATAATACAATGGCTTATTTCCAATACCATAACTATTGCTAAAAATATTGCAGTGTTATATCTATATCAGCCATTCTTCAAAAACTACAGGTATGATTTGTTCTGTAAGCATCATAGCTACAATAGATATCTGCTCACAGCACTGAGTACTTTATGCATAGCCCTATTCCATGGATGGAGGAATAAAAGATATTGGGGTGTGTGTATATGTGTTAGAATAGTAATTCTAAAGCCCTTTTCAAGTTTATAAATTTAGAAATAACTCTCTGCCCCCACAACCAACAATTGCTGGAACAGCTATTAGATTAAAAGAGAAAGAGAGCACATATTTTTTACCAATATCTTGTTCTCTTGCAGCATCTTCTCTGCCAACATGTGTTTGACCCTCCTAAGGAAAAAAAGTTGACATGTTATGGTTACTATGTAAAATCACAAAATTACTAAAAAAAGTGATCGAGGTTATGCTTTTTCCTAAAAATTTAAATCTTTTCCCAAATATTCCTGGAACTTACACCACCAGTTTTGTTGAAGATAATAAACCCACCAAATAAGACTTCCATATCAGGAACAATCTTTTCCTGTATTCTGAAGAATCAGTAAATGGAACATGCAAACATTAAAATGTATTTTAAAGCAACTATTGCCAAGCCCAGATATTTTTTTCTTCTCTAGTTTAGCAGAGTCCTAAACTATCAGCAGATATATTTATTTAGTAGACAACCCGTGACTTATTGGGTCATCATTTCAGAGATATTTCCTTACCTAAACAGAGAAACAGAACGACCAAGGGCAAAAAAGCAGTGGAAGTGTGAGCTACTGGGACTTGTGGCCGGCCTTCTGCAGGGAGCATCAGAAACCTCCCTCCCTCCCTCCCTTTCACATATAATACAGGCTTGCACCATTTGCCCTTCCCTCATGACCCTCAGGGGAGCCCCTGTGAAGCCTCCTCCTCCTCCTCAGCTGACCAGCGGAACTGCCTGTCACTTTGCTTGGGGGAGGTGGAACAAAAGGAGCCTTGGACCATGAGGAAAACTGCACCCCCACTCCCCACTCTGGTGTGTCCCCAAGCGACTCCTCCTTCGAGGGAGACAGAGGGCTCATCTGTCAACCACCGGCACCCTCCAGCCAGCCCTACCTCGCCAGTAGGCATCCAAGTCACTTCCTCATCCTTCCCTCAACACCAACTGCCATTAAGAAATTTCAAATTTCTGCCTCATTTCCAAAGCAGCCAATTGCCACTTGCCTGTCGGGCCTTACTGCCAGCTGACTGGTGGGCACAGGGGACAGAGGAAGGCAGGACCTGGGCTGACCGTGGCAGTGCAGCAGCACAGCTGTGCTGAAGCAGCCACAAATTTCCCAAATTTCAATCCCACAGGAGTAATGGGTCCAGATTTTGGACGCATTCTGTAAGTTAGCCCATTGAGATACTTTGGTTCAAAAATTGTTGCCTTATGATGCACCATTTTGTTCAGTTAAGGTTACAGACATGAGAGTTTTAGTAGTATATAGATGTATTTATTTGTTTATTACAGGTTTTTTTATGCTGCTCCAGCTGAGTAAATCCAAGCAAAATGGAATTTCTTAGAGGCTATAGGTCTCTAATACAGGTGATTCTCATTTAACAACCATACATTCAGCAACCATTCAAGCTTATGATGGTGCTGAATGAGCGGTAATTATGACTTGTATGTATGGCTGATGCAGCGTCCCTCAGTCACATGATCGCCATTTGCAACCTTCTTTGTCAGTTTCCTGCAAGCAAAGTCAATCGGAAAGCCAGCAGAAAGTCACAAATGGTGACCACAGGATGTCCTCACTTAATGAGGACATTAAGCTTAACAACAGCAACCAGAAATGCCAGAATTCCTGTCGCTAAGCAGCATGGTCATGTGATGTCACACTTTACAACACGTTGCTTAGCGATGGAAATTTCGGTCCCAATTGCCATCATTAAGTGAGGACTACCTGTATTTCGTGGACTTCTGGGGAAGAAATGGCAATAACTGCAGCAGAATGAAGAGCCAGTGAGTAGACCAGCTCTTTGTAATTCCTCTCTAGACAAGAAGAGGACTTGAAATTGCCCACAAGTGCTCCAGACAGTTGCTTCTTGTGAAGAGACCACAAGATAGTGTTCTCTAGCAGGTTTAGAGCTCTGGGAGACGAGGGAATAGCCATCTTGCTCAAACTACAGTCAGTGCCTTTAAGGACATTGGGTTCTCATACTTCTTTTTCTAGTCACTTTCAGAAATTGCTTGCTAACTGCTATTAGGAACCTTTGGATTGACATGTTTTACAGCACCAGGTGAGTTTCCTTCAATCCTTAGTGAAAGAAGTTTTAAATACAAGTTTAAGAACTAAAAAAACTTTTTTTTGAAATAAGCAGCAAAATGGTGATTAGAAGTTTGATTTTGGAAAATCACAAATGAAGTAAGAATCCAGACGGCTTTGGAATA